TTTTTTGTTGTTATATACCTGGATGACTGAGAAAACAAACTTTGTGTTATGGAACTGTACAGTTTTACTTCAGAGTGAACTCCCACATGTCTTTAGGACTCGTCTTAACATTCAGTTAAACTGTTTTCCCCTCCTGTAAGGGTTCTTGTGTGTTTAAGAGCAGACACTTTTACCTCTGTCACTGCAAATGAGAGCTTTGTTTCCTGTGGATGTTTGTGTGTCTGATAAGAGTTATCTTGTGGCTAAATCTCTGTCCGCAACTCTCGCAAACAAATGGTTTCTGTCCTGTGTGGACTCTCGTGTGTGCACTTAAATTAGACTTTCGGCTAAATCTTTGTCCACAGTCCTCACATTCAAACGGTTTCTCTCCTGTGTGGACTCTTGAATGCGAGTTTAAACTTGGCTTGTGACTGAATCTTTGCCCACAGTTGTCACATTTAAATGGTTTTTCTCCCGTATGGACTCTCATGTGCGAGTATAAATTGGTCTTCTGGCTAAATCCTTGTCCACAAAACTCACATTCAAATGGTTTCTGTCCTGTGTGGACTCTCATATGCAAGTTTAAACTAGACTTCTGGCTAAATCTATGTCCACAAAACTCACATTCAAACTGTTTTTGTCCTGTGTGGACTCTAAGGTGTCTGTTTAAATGATATTTAAGATTGAATCTTTTTCCACAAATCACACATTCAAATGGTCTCTGTCCTGTGTGGACTTTCATGTGTCTGTCTAAACTGGTCTCCTGGACAAATCTTTGTCCACAAATCTCATACTCAAACAGTTTTTGTCCTGTGTGGAGATTCGTGTGTCTCTTTAAATGGTGTTTAAGGTTAAATCTTTGTCCACAAATATTACATTCAAACAGCCTCTGTCCTGTGTGAACTCTCATGTGTTTGTTTAAATTTGTTGAATGGTTAAAACTTCTTTCACAAACCTCACATACAAATGGTTTCTCTCCTGTGTGGACTCTGATGTGCGTTTCAAAATTAGATTTTTTGTTAAATCTTTTACCACATTCATCACAACCAAATGACTTCAGTCCTGTCTGGACTTTCCAGTGTAACTTGACATGTTTCTTCTGACCCAAACAGCTTGAATGTCCTCCTGTTGAAAGACATGTCATGTGTGTCTGAAGAGACTGGTTGTGAAGAAATTGTTTACCACACTCAGAGCAGTTAAAACATTTGTTGACAGAGTTTACAGCTGACTCAGGAGCTCTGCTCTCCTTCCAGTCTTTGTCATCGCCTTCAGTTGTTGACCCAGAGTCTGACAAGTGTTCCAGCTGAGAGTCAGGATTGTTCCCATCCTCATCCTCTTCATCATCCTCATGGACGTCAGTCTCTGGAGAGCTTGAAGCATCTCCATGAGGATTTAAATCTGGATTCCTGCTGGTTTCTGCTCCTCCACAGTCCTCTTCATCAGCTTCTACTTTCATCTGGTCAGCTGAGCTGCTGGTTGGAACATCTCTGTCTTCCATTTGGTGCTGATGAAGCGGTGAGGACAGAGGCTTCTCTTCATCATTCTCAGTCTTCAGAGGAACTGTGGCGAATGAAAACCTGCTGGCATCAGACTCCTCCTTCGCATTGAGCTGCTCTCCCTCTAAACTGGTCCAGAGTTTCTCCTCTTCCTCCTTGATGTCAAGGGACTTTGGGAAGTGATGATGAAGCTGTGAGAACAGAGGCTTCTCTTCATGATCATCATTCGTCAGAGGAACCGAAGTGAATGAAAACCTGCTGGCAGCAGTCTTGTCTTTCACACAGAGCTCTTCTCCCTCCAATCTGGTCCAGAATTCCTCCCGTGTCTTCTTTATATGAGCGGGCACTAGGTCTTGCTGGTCCACAACAGGCCTCCATACTTCAGGAGCATCTACTTTAATAAACAGAGTCTGTTGAACATCTGCAGGGGACACTAAAACACAGACAATATGGATAATTATAAACTTTATATTCACACAAACATCACTTGTGTTGTTGCTTTATGTTCTATGGATTAGAAATGAGTAGCATAATAGAGATGTCTCACTATGGGATGCATCCTCTCAGTGTATTCCTCAGAAGCACTTATCTCATAATGCCAGTCCTGATTGTTTGGTGATCATGAAGCCTGCACCACTTTTCTCTTAAGTAGATTGTGACACGATGCAGCATCATTCAAAATAAGCAAATCTCCCTTTCAACAAGAAGGGTTGTCTGTTGAGACTGCTTACTCGTGCTAATCTAAGAACTGGGATTAACTGAATAACCTTCAGGTCCCATTCATAGAATTTGTTTCTGTCTCATAATGGGACATGGAGAGGGCAATCTACTTAAGTTTCAGTGATGTATGACAAAAGCGTGTCAGCAAAGGTCAAAGGAAAGTTTACAAGACAGTGGTGAGACCAGCTATGTTGTATGGTCTGGAGACAGAGACGTGGACAAAAAGACAGGAGACAGAACTGGACGTGGCAGAAATGAAGATGTTGAGGTTCTTCTTAGGAGTGACAAGGATGGAGAAGATTAGGAATGAGATCATCAGAGGTACAGCACAGGTTGAACAACTGGGAGATTAAGTTAGAGAGGACACACCGAGATGGTTTGGACATGTCCAGGAGGAGGGACAGTGGTTTGGACATGTCCAGAGGAGGGACAGTGGGTATATTGGTAGAAGGATATTAGAAATGCAGCTGCCAGGAAAAAGACAAAGAGGAAGGCCAAAAAGAATTTATATGGATGTAGTTAGAGAGAACATGGAGGTAGTTGGAGTGAGGACAGTGAGACGGAGGAGGATGACTCGCTGTGAAGACCCCTGAAGAGGGAAAAGCCAAAAGAAAAAGACTTTTTAAACTTGATTAGTATTTAAAGATTTGTACCACAGATTTTTAGAGTGAAATTAAGTACAGTAAATGGTTTTAAAAGCGTAATCTGCCACAGAGACGTTAAGCGGGAAGACTTACTGCGCAGACGCCATGTCGCAATGAATTGTTGGAATACGTGAACGTCGTGACGCAATGACGCAACGGACTTTAAATGCGGCCTTCGAAGCTCACAGGCCCTGAACATAGACACGGGTTTAAATGTCTTCTCAGCTAAGCGTGTAAAACTGTTGTTTTATCCTTGATTACATTAGTTTGGATAGTACATCTCCAAAACTGAGTATTGTTAAGAGATAAAAACAGCCTCCCGCTTCTTGATCTAATGGTTTCTAGATCTTGTCCACCTTAGCGCTAGCTTCTGTTAGCATGCTAAGCTACAAACACAGACAACAGATTTACAAGTTCTTGTTAAGAAGTTAAATCCATCAACTACCTAGAAACCACAGCTAGCTAACATCGTCTGACGCTGAATGAAACAAACAAACCTGAACTCATTTTCTCTCCAACTCGACAGCTCCTCTTCGTAATCTGAGATTATTCCCAGCTTCCTCCAGTCTGTTGGACCCGCTGTCTCCACGGTTTTACTCCTCGGTGAACTTAGTTCTAGGTTGGATCTTCGACACATTCGCTCCGTGGATTCAGCGGTGTCTTCGACCCGTTTCACCCGCTGCTGGCAGCGAGATTACGGTCAGATCTCCTCCGCGCGCTCCCTCCTCCTGAACACAGTGGTTCTTCTTTTAGGGACCGTCAACAAATTTCATTCATTCATTCAACCTTTATTTCTACAGGTTAATCCCATTGAGCCTCGAGGACTCGTTTACAAGAGAGACCTGATTTCAACAAAGAAAGATGACAACAATAGACAGTTATAAAAAGGCATACACATTTTATTTTTTTAACAAATAGGATGGCTAAAAAAGAAAAGTAACAAAAAACAGCTAGATTATAAGGCAAATGTAGAAAACTAAAAACAGGAACATGTCTGCATTGGTCCCTGCCAGGAGTCCCAACAAATTACTGAACGAATGAAACAAACTTAAATTAAATTAAAAAGCCTACATATTAAGTTAACTTCTGAACAAAGGGTAACGCTAAACTGTTTCACTAGCCTGGCTAAATAAGACTCTGTGACTTTTGTCTTTTTTAATAAGTATTTTTATTTTATGTTTTTTTTCATTACCATCCCTGTCCTGTGACATGATTAATCAAATTGATGCTTCATTGTTTTACTATATTGGACAAATAATACACAGAATTTAATCATACTTCACTTGTGTTTTTCTCTTTCGGCTGTTCCCTTCTTCGGGGGTTGCCACAGAAAACTAACTTGTACAAAGACGTAGCGATTGATTTTACACCGGCTGTCCTTCCTGACGCAACCACAGACCACCGAGCTACCATGGGGTTGGAGGCCTTGCTCAAAGGCCCAGAGCGGAGCAAATGAGGGTGGAGGCAGGTGTGGGTGTTTCACCTTTCCCACCCACATTTTTATGTTACAGGGTGTTGAACCTTCCGATCACATGCCCACCTCCTCTAACCTTTGCACCACCACTCCCTTTCACTGGTATTTCATATCCTTTTCACCGCATCTCATATTGTATATTATTGTATAGTTAAACAAATAAAGAATTTTAAAGGCTAAAGTTTTTGTGTAGTCTGTGCTGAATTTAATTTTTACCAATAGATGGCGGTAAAGGTTGTCCCACTGTGAGCAGAACATTAATGCAGTTCTCATGTCAGTCTTTGCTTCTTTTTTACTACAAATGTATTGAGTAAAAAATTATAAGACATGGCATATATCAAGTTTGATGAGACCAAAAAATGATATAAAACAAGGGTTAAAGGACAGTGGCCCCATACTGAGAGATTGTTTTGATCGAACAGACTGGCAGGTTTTCAGAGAAGCTGCTGAAAATGGAGGTTCGCTTGATCTTGACCAATACACATCCTCAGTACTGGGTTACATTAGTACATGTACTGACACAGTCTCCACTATCAGAAATGTTAAAAGCTACCCAAACAGAAAACCTTGGCTGAATGCAGAGGTGCGTACCCTGCTGGAAGCCAGGAACACTGCCTTCAGGTCTGGAAACTCAGAGGAGCTGAGTAGGACAAGAAAAGAGCTGGTTGCTGGTATTAAGAGGGCCAAGGCCACATATGCACAGAGGATCGAGGGTCAATTCATCTCACAAGACCCTCGGAGCATGTGGAGGGGCATTAAGTGCATAACAGATTATAAAGGAAGGAGTGAACAATGTCCCAAAGACCCATCTCTGCCTGATGCCCTCAACAAGTTCTATGCACGCTTTGAAGACCCGAACAGACCACCCAGCACCAGACTCACCTCACCACCGGATGAAGAGCATCTCAGCGTGACCTCAGCAGAAGTAAGGAGTACCTTCAGGAGGATTAATCCGCACAAAGCAACTGGCCCAGACAACATCCCCGGAAAAGTGTTGAAGGAATGTGCTGATCAGCTCTGTGAGGTGCTGGCAGACATCTTTAACACCTCACTTACCCTGGAGACAGTTCCCACCTGCCTGAAGACTGCCACCATCATCCCAGTCCCAAAAAGCTCTACAGTGACTGGTCTGAATGACTATCGGCCAGTGGCCCTCACCCCGATAGTCGCTAAATGCTTCGAAAAACTGGTCATGACTCACATCAAAACAACCATCAACATCAACGAGGACCCTCATCAGTACGCATACCATGAGAACCGATCAACAGAGGATGCAATCTCCTCTGTGGTCCACACTGCACTCAACCACCTGGAGCAGAAAAACTCTTACGTCCGTATGCTCTTTGTGGACTTCACATCCGCCTTCAACACCATGATCCCCCAAACCCTGATGGACAAACTATCCACACTAGGACTAAGCCCCTCCATTTGCAACTGGGTACTAGACTTTTTAACAAACAGACCACAGTTAGTGAGGATCCACAACCTCTCCTCCTCCACCATAACCCTCAGCACTGGCTCTCCTCAGGGATGTGTGTTGAGCCCCCTCCTGTTTACTCTGCTCACATATGATTGTGCAGCTACCCATCCAGGCTGTCACATTGTAAAGTTTGCAGATGATACAGCGGTGGTGGGATGCATCACAAACAATGATGAGTCCAGCTACAGGCAGGAGGTGGAACACCTGGAGAGCTGGTGCAGAGAGAATAACCTTCACATCAATGTGAAGAAGACAAAGGAGATGATTGTGGACTTCAGAAGGAACAAAAACATCTACACCCCCCTGAACATAAGAGGATCTGCGGTGGAAGTGGTCTCCAGCTACAAGTACTTGGGTGTACACATGAATGACAACCTCAGCTGGAGCAACAACACCACCAGCCTGATCAAGAAAGCTCATCAGAGACTCTACTTCCTCAGACGGCTGAGGCGAGCTGGTCTGGGAAGCTCAGTCCTCACCTCCTTCTACAGGTGTGCAGTGGAGAGCATCCTGTGCTCGAGCATCAATGTGTGGCATGGAGGCTGCACAGCTGCAGAAAGAAAAGCTTTGCAGAGAGTGGTGAAGGCTGCACAGAAATCTGTTGGAATCAGTCTCCCCACCATCACAGACATCTACACCTCCAGATGCAGGAAGAGGGCCACCTGCATCATGAAGGACCCCACCCACCCAGCACACACACTTTTTGCCCCACTCCCCTCAGGAAGGAGGTTAAGGAGCATTAAGTGTAGAACCACTAGACTGAGGAACAGCTTCTACCCTGAGGCTGTTAGACTCATGAATCTCTAACTAGAATAATCACTGTGAAAAACCATATCATGTTGCTGCTGATCTGTTTCATGTTGCTGCTGATCTGTTTCAATGTTGATGTGTTCATGCGTGCACATCTGCTCACAGACTCATGTTCATGTTTGTGCTGATGTTCAATGTTTTATGTTATGAGTGCTTAGTGTATATTTAGTTGATGTTTTTCTTAGTTCATATCTTAGATGTTATTACTGTTTTTCTTATACATTTTATTGTTGGATGTAACTGGGACCCTGTGTACATAATTTCGCTCCACCACATGTACCACATGAGGTGCGAATGACAATAAAGAAACTCTGACTCTGACTCTGACTCTGATATAAAAAGCCAGACTTGTAAACAAATAGGTTCCCAGTAAATAAAGGGATAAATGTAAATGGTTTAGGTCATTACAACATATTTTTGTTTTTAATTTACTATTAAAAAACTTTAGTCTCATAAAAAATAACTGATTATATTTAATCTCAAGCTTGAGAATTTAGGATTTAAGATAAGAATTTTGACAGAATAATGAAATATGAGTAAAGTTGAAGTGAGAGCTTAGTTTTAGCTCCTGTCATAGTCAGTAGATTGAACTCTACATTTGTCCAACACAAAGTCACAGTAACTGATCATGAAGCGTGACTTTACTCAAAACACCATTTGTGTACAAGGAATACAGAAATAAATTCATTATAGTTTTTTATGTTGACTGGATGAAATATCAATCTGTATGGTTTACAACTGGTCACTTTATGGTGTCTCATAAAGGCACCAGTTGTTCCGGCGCACGTATAAAAACAAAACACCGTGTTTCAGAATCACTGTGTTGATTTGTTTGGCAAAAATAATGTGAACAAGGTCCACAGCTTTTAAAGTGCTGAAGCTACGTCACTGGTACCCGATTCAAAGGTTTACTGTATAAGAAAGTGAATCATTGGTGGAAACTGTATAAAACATAATAAACCAAGTACTTTCCTACCTGTCTCTATAATTACTGTAGTAGTCCAGTCATTTGGAAGCTCTTTACCACCCGGGGTACACACTGGACGGGTCGCAAGTTCATCACAGGCATTCACTCTCTCACTCACACCTAGGGACAATTTAGAGTTACCAATCAGCCTAACATGCATGTTTAATAACTTGAACATTTTAAAGTCAGCTACAGTTTAAATTACTTTTATTCCAAACTCAAAGTCTGACAAGAATGAGACGGTGTGCCTAAACCTGATCCGACAGCATAAAAACATGACGTGTTTTAGAAACAAGACTTGAATACTGAAGAGCAAACTTTAAAATATTTCGTTTGATTCATTTTTATCTCCTACAAACAACATCATCACCAACAAGTTTAAATGATTAAACTTACATTTGTAAAACGATTCACTCAGGTTTCAGTGGAAAAATGACATCAGATTACAAATGTAGTAGATGTGAGGGA